CCCCCCCCCCCCTCCCACCCCCCAATACAATTTACGAGCGTAGATCACAATATATACCATTAGCTGACCAAGGAAGGTCAACTGAAGTGCAGAAGGTCACAACAGATAAGGCTGTGGTCAAACATGCACAATATCAACCAGGCCAGGGAAAGGTCAGCTGTGAAGGGAGAGGGTGAACGGCACAGCAAAGACTTCGTGCACTCTACGGTCAAAAGGCAATAGTTGCAACGTAAAAGAGGCCATAAGGTTATGCAACCAGAACTAGATCTAGGCCCTGCCAGAGTCATAGAGAAGCAGCATCTGATTATTCCAGGGTGAAGGTCACTGATTTTATGAGGTCAAAGCCACAGGGTCATATTACTGACAAGGGAAAAACGTCATTACATCAGATAGGCTTAAGTTATAAGGTGAGAACATTTAAGTAGGATGACTGAAGTTATCAGAAGGGTTGGGGGGGGGGGGGAGGTGGGTGTAAAAAAACTTACTGTCCTGGCATAAGATTGACCAAAGGTCATGGTAGGTCACAGGAGGTCACAACACTTAAACATCTACGGGGGTCGCTAGGTCACAACAATAACATAAGTATAGGGTAGCAAGTTCAAAATACCGACACGACTAAGGAGTAGCAAGTCTGACAACACCTATACGACTAAACGGATGCGAGGTCACAGGAGGTCACAACACCTAGATGACTAAGGGGTCAAGAGGTCGTGGGAGGTCGCAACACCAATGTGAGTCACAACACTGACAAAACTAAAGGGTCACAAGGTAGGTCACCATATCAAAATGACAAAAGGGTCGTGAGGTCACCACACCCATACGACTACAGGGGTTGTCATCGCCAGGTCACGGGAGGCCACAACATCGACTAAGCACAAGCAAGAAGGTCAAGGCTGACAAACCTTCAGGATCGGCTGGCGGGGTCGTCCGGCGCACTGGCGTGGAAGATGACGTCGGCGCTGCCGTGAGCGCAGTAGGCCAGGAGGAGAGAGACCAGCAACATGGCCAGGCCCACACACAGGGTCAACAGCTGGAGGGGGGAGAGGAGATGGGGAAGGGGGACAAAGGGGAGGGGGGAGAAGAGAGGGAGAAAGGGGAGAGGGGAGGAGAGAGGGAGAAAGGGAGGAGGGGGTAGGGAGATGGGAAGGGGGAGAAAGGGAGGGGTAGAGATGGAAAAATGGGGGAGAGGCAGGGAAGAGGTGGTTGGGGTGGGGTGGGGAGTAGGAGTGGGAGGAAGGGAGAGGGGACAGGGGACAGGGGAGAGGGGAGAGAGGGATAAAAGGGGAGGGGGGAGGAGAGAGGGAGAAAGGATGGGCGGAAGAGGAGGAGAGAGGGAAAGAAGTGGAGGAGAGAGGGAAAGA